TGGTCTTAGGCGACCCCTGTGAAAGGGTCGTTCGACCTCCAAAGGGGTCGCGACCCCCAGGTTGAGAACCGTGCTCTAAGAACTGGAACTAAATTAAAGAAGCGATTGGAGGTCCTCGAAAGGTGTCTTTCATTTCAGTTCCACTGTTGTCTGGTCTTGACTTCCTTATTTCTGAGAGAGCACATAAGCAAAAATAAGTGAGAACATAGATGACCTGCATACTTTAAGCATTTATTTAGTAAATACATATTGAACTTTATACACTGCAGACATGACTTTTCTAGCAGCATCCATTGAACATTTATAAAGATTACTCATATATTAGAACACAAAATAAAAAATGGTAATTAATTCCTCAAAGCAGAAACCAATATGAACCATAATTTCTGACCACAACGCATAATGATTGTAATCACACACACCCACACACACCCACGTACGAAATAAAATACCTAAGAGAAAAATCAAAACTGTAATTACAGAGTAATTATAAATAAATGAAAATGTGAACACTTTAATATGGTCAAAGCTGAACTCAGAGGAAAAGTCATAACCTCGGATGACATCTTTACCTTAAGGAAGAGTGAAAGTAAATGGTAAATGAACTTAGCACATAATCTTCAACAGCTGGTTTGCAAGAAGAAGATGGACAAAGAAAAATATTGCCACGCGTAGAACAAGATGGGGTCAGGCAAGTAAGCTGAGCATCCGAGTAAAGGAGGCCGGAGGAGGAATTCTAAAGATGATCTCCCGTTTTCCTTGGAAATAAGTATTATACTTTTCCAGGTGTCTTTTCGGTCTTCAGCACATCCTGACTTCCATGAGGACATGGAAGATGCTCAATAGTTTTAAAAAAATTGATGATGTGGTGATAAAAAATTTCTCTTTTAAATTTATAGAAAGAAACTATAAAGTAAATTGCTGTTATCTTGTAAAATTTCAAGGTACAGTTAAAAGCTTCTACTACCCACAGAAAGATGGAGGACTAGTTACAGCTCTCAGTAAGAAAGCTGAGAAAAACAAAACAGAACAAAACATGTTCTAAGGGTCACAAACACCAGGTGTTGTACAAAACACACAACCGAATGGCAACTGAGCAGAACCCAAGTGACCTTTACAGGATGTCATTAAGCTCGTTTTATTTTTTATCGTCTGCTTTGTTTGTAAGGGTCTTGTTTTAGGATAAAAAATCCGTGGAATACACCTGCTCACTCAGTTTCCTGAGGATTCTATTTTGAGCAATGCTGACTTTTCTTTTATTCCCAGATTTATATCCGCCCATGTCCTATGGGTCAGTACTTGCTAAAATTATCAAAGTAAGATACAGCTACTGGTCCTCCTGTGTTTTCCACCCCTTGAGAAAAAAGATCCCACTTTCTCCTGCTCCTGACACACTCAGATTCCAGGGTGGATTGTCCGTTAGCCTTCATTTGTACTATAATTGTACACTTTTGTCCTTTTCAACATTTTGCAGGTATCTTAGTGAGATGTAGGAAGAGAGGGAGTGTTAGAAAGCATTGGCGCTATTAGGCGGATACAATATTATGTGATAATTCTCTACTGCAGCATTTTCCAAACTATATTCCTTGGAATGTTATGACCGGTGTCATGAGGTGTCCCATGGTTCTAAATCCCCCTTTATTGACTCTCCATGAAAACTAGCAAATTGAAGGCTCTGAGAAGTCCTGAGTGAAGAAGTCTGGTTCACTTGATGTAAACTGAAGCTTCTATTTGAGCATACGGTACTTTTTCACAGCTGCCGGCGCCTCGCTCTAGGCCAGGGCTGACCAATAGGTTTCCTTCCTGGCTCTCTTCTCCGTGGATCAGCCATGACCTAGACCCATTTTTGGACTTTCATGGTGTTTCTTTTATTTTTACTTTTACTCTTAGCAGGACTTGGCACAAGGCTATTTACATGTGTTGTGATCTTTTCATGGATTTTATTTCTCTCTCTTTAATAGCAAAGTGCATTAACTCTAATAAGCTCCTGCTATGTACCACCCCACTAGCTGCTTTAAATGTGTAGCCCAGATGCTGGACTCTTCCTCTTGATAGGAGAGAGGGAGGGAGGGAGGGAGGGAGGGAGAGAGAGAGAGAAAGAGAGAGAGAGGTACATATGCACCACCCCTCAGCTGGAGGCAAGGCCAGGAGGTGAGGGGGTACCAGCCTGTTCCCTCACACTCTGAAGAATACTCCCCAGGACCTTTGTTCTTCTTCATTTTAGCATTCTCCTCTCCTTCCCTGACCCCTCCCTAGAGTCGGAATCCTGAGGCCCTCATTTCATCTCCTTCTGCGACTGTGGCCCTTCTTCCAGTCTCTTCTTGGGGCTTGGAAACCTTCAAGACTTTGGTAGGTCACAGCTATCCTTGTTCTAGCTATTTCTGCAGACAGGCAGGAGAAAAAATGCTGTGGCTCCTAAAGTCAATCTCTCTCTCTCTCTCTCTCTCTCTCTCTCTCTCTCTCTCTCCCTCCCTCCCTCTCTCTCCCTCTCTCTCTCTCTGTGTGTGTGTAAGCATCTGTGGCAGTCTGTGCTGTGAGGAACACTGCCTTTTTCTCTAATATCTGGGTGACCAGATCTCTAAGGCACACTACGTAGATATCTTGCATTTGGAGATATCTTGATGTTTGCAAAAACTTTTGGGCCTCATTTTGCTGAAAGTATGTCTTCTCCTTTCTAGCATTGGCTCAAATTACAAAGTCCCTGTTCCAGTTATGTATTTTTGTATTTAAAAAAATCACTCAAAAATGGATTGAGTGACCTACTGCAGAAGCGTGTGGTCTCTCCACTGGCCCCACCTGCATGGTGGCCTCAGAGTAGACAAACATACATGGTGGCTCAGGATTCCCAGGGTGAATGTTCCAGAAGGTCAAGGCAGAAGCTGCAAGGACTCTTGGACCCAGCCCCACATGCCCTGCAATATCACTTCCGCTGTGTTCTGTTGGTCACGTAATACCAGCCCTGACTCAATGTGGCCGTGGGCTACACAAAGGCAACACTGTCAGGAGGCAGGGGTCGTTCATCGGGGGACCACTTTGGAGGCTGCCTATCGCAGCCTCCTCTTCAACTTCAAAGGACAAACTGACTTTTCATTTATTTTATTTTAAATATATTTTTTATTGACTTCAAAGAGGAAGGAAGAGGGAGAGAGAGAAACATCATTGATGAGAGAGAATCATTGATTGACTGCCCCCTGCATGCTCCACACTGGGGATGGAGCCTGAAATCCAGGCATATGCCCTGACTGGAAATCGAATCGTGACCTCCTGGATCATAGGTCAATGCTCAACCACTGAGCCATGCTGGCCGGGCCAAACTGACTCTTAAATGCAAATTTGCATAGGATGTGACACCCCCTTACCAAAGGGCTTCAGTGGATTTTCTACCAGAAAGAAGAGATCAGGACACATGTTTTCTATGCTCCTTCCAGCCAACGTGTTTGTTTTTATTAGATGGAATATTGACTTAGAGGCAAAGAGCGTTGGTACCTGGCATTCCATGTTACAGAACAGCAGTCATATTATCCACCCTGGCTCTCAAAGAACCCGCCCAACTCTATACACTCCACTTTACATGTTGTATCAGAGAGGGAGGCTGGCTTGAAAACAAGAGTAAGGCATCCAAAGTACTGTGAAACCAGCAGCCACCCAATTTCAGCTCCCAACGTCATGCTGAGCAGTAACAAAAGAAGTACATGGAGACGGATGAAGCTTTGGTTTCCCAATGATGCTTACATGCACAGGATGCAGCCACTTAAGTCTTTTTAAAACCAATTGTTCTAATGCTTTATTGCTCTGCACCAAAATACATCAAACTGACATTGATTCCAAGGTCATTGTGAAGTTTAACCATATTAAAGAGGAATAGGATGCACGTTGGAATGAGGAGGAAGGCATCACAGTATATTGCATTCTTGTAAACATTAGTACAAGTACAGAGTAACAGAGACTCCCCTAGTTGATGCTAAATAGGCCCCGCCTTCCTCTGCGTTCAGAGGCGGAAGGACTCGGGATTCTTTTCCATTTGCCCTCCGCTAGGGTAGAATATACTGCCCTAAAGAAGAATGGGTTCCAACTTGGCTAATTTTCTCCTAAGATGCTATTGGATCTCTTCCATGTTTCTGGTCCTTTGCAAGGTGGACTCAGCCCTCCAAGCGGGAGTCCTACAAAATGGCATGATGGGAAATGTTCCCCTAACACAGAAGACATACAATGAAAGTGAAGCTCTGCATGGAGAAAGCTTTCTGCCACATTCTCTTCCCCAGCTCCATCTCCTTGGGGAAAGGACTTCATTACGGAAAGGGCTGTACAATCTTCAATAAATAAGGGCCCCTTTCCCTACTCTATCCCCACTTTGCCCTTTGAGTTCAGGCCTCCTGTTCTGCTCTGTCACCCGTCGGTCCCTAGAGCAGCAGGGGAGACTGCCTGTCAACCATCTTTGAGCAGGTCAGGTCTTTGTAGTTGGTGACACATCAACTTGGCTCTCACATGTAATGCACACCTCTAGGACCCAGAAGAGACAGCACAACCACAAAGTGAGGGGTCCTGGGGAACCCTGGAATGTTGGGAGCTAGGAAGTGGGACTTCCTGGTGCTCTGCAAGAGGGATTGCTTGGGGTCTCAAATGTGATGATGCTCATTGGTTGGTATTGAGGACAAAGGTCTGGAATCCGAATCACACTTGACTACATGGACCTGAACCTCACACTGGGGCCACACTGCAGACTGGAGTACACGTCAGTGGGTTAACTTACGCCACATGGGCAGGGAGGGAGTTGGGTCCTGGGGAACAGCTGTGGTTGCTGTCCTGCTACTGCCACCAGGTAGGGACCTCAGCTCTGCCAGTGGCTCTCTTGGCCTCATCCCCACCTTGGGCAGCCAGGATATGCTGTGCAATGGACACTCTGTCTTGTGGCTGATACTCCACAGTCTCAGATCCTTGAGTCTGGTCTCCCTGTTTCCTGGGTGGCCGGGTCATTGTGACAGCTCCTCTGGGTTGACACAGTGTGAGATGAGGCATCACAGCAGGGCTTGCCTACTGCAAAAGGAGTAGGGGCCCACAATCAGACATTTTCTAGGACATCCAGGGGGACAAGGCCTCTCTTCTTTCCACTGAGGACTCTGATGAAGCCGTCCTGTTCTTCTTCAGAAGTCAGGCAGATCTGAATGCCAAGGAAAGAGAAAACAAGTGTCAACAAGAAAGAAGCTAGAACCTACACCGGAATCACTGCTGACTGAGGTCAGCAGGGCATTGAATTGGAAAAGAGAGAGCAGTGTTAGGGTGGGAAGTTGTGGCTCTGTGAGAAAAGGTTTGATAAAAAATTAGGCAGCCCTGGCCAGGCAGCTCAGTTGGTTAGAGCATTGTTCTGATACGCCAAGGTTGCAGGTTCAGATCCCTGGTCAGGGCATATGTAAGAATCAACCAATGAATGCATAAATAGGTGGAACAACAATAGATGTTTTTCTCTAATTTTTTTTCTCTCTCTCTTGTTCTGCCTCTCTCTCAAAACAATAATTTTTTTTTTAATTAGGCAGAACCCTGGGTTTGGAACTAGTCCAGGGATTGAATATTTTCTGAGATTCAGCTTGATGAATGAGGATCAAGAAAAGCTTGAGAATCTACCATTTTAGGAAGCAGTGGCAGAGCTGGGAACATTTCCTTTCATTTAGAGGTGGAATGGAAAGACCAGCTCAGAAGATTAATTGTGAGTAGAAAGGGGTGGGAGCTGAGGGAGAACCAGAGGAGCTCCTTTGGGTTGAAGGGTCACAAATAGGGTGACAAACTTGTTTTGGTTTGCCTGGGACTTTCTCAATTTTAGCACTGGACGTCCCATATCCTGGAAAATGCCTCAGTCCTAGACAAGCTGGATGGCTTATTATCCTAGCAAATATTTAACTCATTAGGCCACGTCAGAGATACCTCAATTGTTTAAGGAACCTGTCATTCCCTGCTTTCTGCATTCATTCAATACATTTTTATTGGGAACCTACTATGTGCTAGATACCATTCCAGAAGCTTGGAAATTAGTGAAGACAGACTCCTGCTCTCATATTGTTTATTGAGCAGAAATGGGAAGAAAGACATTTCATTGAGTAATTTCGTGCATGTTGAGTGCAAGGACCATGCCTGTGTTAGTCACTGATCATCCAGTGAACAACACTTTGTAACACTGACTGACAGCTTAAGTAGCTAATATTTTTGAATGATTAATGAGTAAAGAAAAAGGTGCTGATGTGAAAATAGATGGCAATCTGATCTAACCTAGCGGGTAACTTTGTGGCACCTTGGAATGACTAGCTGGAACAATGCAGCCAGAGATGGAGGTGGTGAATGGTGTGAGATAAAGCCAGAAAGGCTGCCAGGGCCAGGCATGTGGGGACATGCAGCCATGCTAAGCCTGCTAAGTCCCTTAGCTGACCTTCTGACCAATCTCACTGACTGGACCTGGGTCACGAGACAACCACCAACATAATCACCAGGAAGGAGAATGGGACCCATTCAATCAGTTCAGTTAGGATTTACCTGAGTCATAGAAGATACAGATGGACAAGAAAACAAAAATCAGGACGCTGCAGCATGGGAAAAAGGCAAAAATGAACGTTGGCATCAATCAACAGTTGGGTGTTAAAGGATTTTAAGTGGAGAAAGGAGAGGGTCAGATTTATTTAAAGCAGTTCTTTTTCCATTCCTCCCCTCTACCCTCTTTTTCTTTTGCTACCTGTTGCCATCCTTCTGTCTCTCCTTTCTCATTCTCTTCCTTCCTTCCTCTCTCCATATCCCCTCCCTCTTTACAGCCAAAGACTTCCAAAGGCTGAACCAATTTTCTTCCCACTGCTGACCTATCCTGACCTGTCCACTCGGCTCGTTGACAATGGTGTGGACTTGACTTTGATGCATCATGTTAGCTGTGGTAAGCTGGGCAGCTCAACACCAAGGTGGGTGCAGCATATACAGAGCAGAGGCACCTCACATACTCAGTATTCCATCTTCAGCCAGCCCAGTGCTTAGCTAACTATCAAGCCCAGCTATAGCCAGCCCCGCAGCATCCCTCAGAGACTTTGCCTTTCTAATATGAAACAGATAAAAGTTATTATTTTCCATCTTAAAAGATTTACCTAGTTTCCTCCCTGATCTCATGCCCCAGAGCCTAGACCAGGGGTGGGCAACCTTTTTGTGAGCGTGTGCCAAAACCAGCAAAATCTCTGACTCAAAATTCTTCTGCGTGCCAACCCTAATTTTTTGAGAACATGTTACGCCTACTTGATATCTCTTAAGGTGTACATATGTGAAGAACCTTGAAGAAATAATAAAATTTATTTGAGCAACAAAAACACAATATATGATGAAAAATACATTTATTTTTTAATGTATACATGTTATGTAAAATTATTTATTTATCTAAGATGCACCTACACTGAATTTATCTGAAAAATAAAAAAGTCGATATTAAGAAAAAAAATTGTAAATGGGAGATTATAAGAGAAGGTTTCGAGTACCAGCAAAAGTTACTGGCGTGCCATGTTTGGCACGTGTGCCAGGGGTTGCCCACCCCTGGCCTAGACTCTTTGCTGGGTTGCAAATTCAGCTTCGTAGTTAATTTTCAACACTTAGCATTCACTCTTTGTCCTCTTAGTCTATATTATTATTACTACTTTAACACCAGTCATCCATGTTTCTGCTCCAGTTGGTGCATTTGTAGCTCTACCACTCACCTGTTCTCACTCGCCCTAGTTCTTAAAGACAATGGGGTGGGCTGGATTTTCCACACTCTTGTCTCAACTTGATATCTGCTTGCTGACTCACTCCCTGGCCCTCTGCTTCTTCTCCTCTGTTGCCTCAAATTCTGTTGCATAATAGTCAAGTGCCCCTATTGGCTCAGTCCCATTTGGCCCTATCTGGTTAAAATCCTGAAGTCTTCTGGGATCACATGTACTTAATACCATTTAAGGTTGTCCCCTGCATGTCCTCCAAACTCATTAACATTAAAATGATTGCCACTCATAGAGGAGCAATTGTTTTATTTAAAAAATATTTTTTTGACTCTTGGATTGAGTCCTCCCCTCAAAATACCTATGAAAAGATACAGGGTTGGAGGTAGAGAAGAAGAGTCATAACACTAAATGCCAAGACTGACGGCCAATCAGAAGCTGATTGGAATTTCTTTAAGACCTTTGGTGCTGAACTCAGCTGAGGACTGAAGCAAGTTGTGCTGCTGTGTCAAGGATACATCTACCAGCCTAAAAGAGACCTCCTCCTCCAAGGTCAGTCTCAGGCTCAGAGATTCAGCAGCTGCCCAGAGCTGAAAACTGGGCAGCCATTTCTCTATTATTAAGGGCTCTACTCCTCCCAATCAATGCTTTCCTTTCTACATTTATTAGAAGCTATGGACCTCTTAGAAAAGGAAATGACAGGAAGTAGGGCAAATTAGATAGAGGTGGCACAAGTGTCTCCTGGGAGTTGAGGTCCCAACAAATAAAACACAGTGGGTGGGAATGGAGACAGAAAGACTATGGGGGTAGCAGACAAAGCTGAAAGTGGTTTTTTATGTACTCTAGGAGTTCAGAATGTTGGGGGGGAAAGCAATGGCGAAAGAAGCAAATCCTAACTCAACCTAGCAGACCAACATTAGATAAATGCTTCTTAGGTGCCGGAAGTTAGTATGAGTCATGCATAATTACCTGCTCCTCCAACTGAGTGGACCTGAGTACACCTGAGTGGACCCTGAGCTGCACCCACACTGCTCCACTCATCTTCTAAACTGGGAAAGCTCAGCTCTGCACTGATCACTCCTTGTTCTAGGAGAAGTAAATGGCTTGAGGCTGTTGGTTGACATCTACAGTAATTTCTGCTCTTTCCCCACACAGCAGGGTTCCGACTTTTGTTCTGTTGTCTTTATCTCTGCAACATGATTCAGGTAAATCCTAACTGGTGCAAGTCTGCTTCTACTCCCCTTGCTAGTGATTCTCTTAGTGGTTCCAGCCAATGAACCAGGATGGGAAAGTGTGTTTTCCTCTTAAAAGAGATGGATTAGGAAGAAAATCTCTCTCCTCATCTGGAAGGGATTCTTGGAGTGGCTGCAGCCATCTATGACCACGAGGGGAGGTGGCTAATATTGCAACAGTGGCAGAGCATAAAGGTAGAAAAATCTGAAGCTCTGACCATGGAATCCAAGAAGTTCCCTGAATCCAGATCTCTTATTATACGAGTAAAATATACCTTCTGAGCTTGAGTTTTGTAATTCGAGATGTGTATTAGTTTGCTATTGTAACAAATTAGTGGCTTTAAACGGTATAATTTATCTCACAATTCTGTAGGTCTGCTGTCTGGTGGGCTTGGCTAGTTTTCTCTGCTCTGGGTTTCACAAGGCCAAAATCCAGAAGTCCACGGGGACCTATTCTTTTCTTTCCTTTCTGTTTCTCTAGGAGAGAATCCACTTTCAGGCTCACTTAGGTTGTTGCCAAATTCAGTTCCTTGGGGTTGCAGGACTGAGGTGCCTGCTTTCTTGCTGACTGTCAACTTCAAATGCCACCTGTATCCCTACCTTGTGGCTTAGTCCTACATCTTCGAATCCAGTATGGGTGGGTTGAGTCCTTTTTACACTTAATCTCTGATCTCATCTCTCTTTGGCCCTCTTTTTCGGCATCTCTGACTCTAGTCAGATACATTTCACTGCTGTTAAGGGTGCAAGTGATTAGATTTGGCCAACCAAAACAATCTAAGATATTGCCCATCACAGGTCCATAACCTTATTCTACCTGCAAAGTCCCCTTTGCATTAGTTCCTATGGCTGCTGTAATAAATTTGGTGACTTGATAGAACACAGATTTATTTTCTTGCAGTTCTGGAGATCAGAAGTCCTAAAATCAAGGTGTCAATAGGGCTGCATTTCTTTGGGAGGCTGTAAGAAAGAATCTGTTTCCTTGCCCTCAGCTATTCGAGGCCACCCTTGGCTCCTGGCCCCTTCTTCCATCTTCAAGGCTAGCAGCATAACTTCTGCTTCCGTCGCCATGTCTACTTATCTTACTCTGATCCTCCTGTCCTTCTCTCATAAGGACTCTTCTGGTTACACTGGGCTCATCCAGATAATACAGGATAACCTCCCAGCTCAAGACCCTAAAGTTAACCACATCTGCAAGTCCTTCTTGCCATGCTAAGGCAACATGCTCAAAGTTTTCGGGATTAGGACATGAGGCTGTTGTTCCGCTTACCACAAGATAAATGGATCAAGGCTGTTACTATGAAACATAAGAAAATATTGCAGAAAATATGTGCATATGTCTGAAAGAATAAGTGGATGGAGTAGGTTGAAGGAAGACTTAGCCATGATGTTTTAAGGAAAGAATCTCTTGAGGTTAAGAATGATGTAATGAGATGTAAAGAGAACATGTTGCAGAAGAAAGGGGGCTAATTGAGAAGAAAACACTATAAGGAAATGATCACTAAATTAAAATCTGTGTGAGAAGCAATGAAGGACTGAATTGAAACTTCAGAAAATTAAAGTGAAGCAGGTCTCTTGAAATGTTCTCTTTGGAAGAAGTGGAGAGTGATAAAGTAGAAAGCGATACAGAGATTAACACTTGAAGAGAAAGATGATAAAATAGAGATGGTTCAATCAATGAATTACTAAGTTTCTGAAGGGAGAAGCATTAAGATTAAAGGCCAAATGATAAATAAAATGTTGGCCACATGTGGTAAACCAGTTGTAAATATTCTTAAAAGACAGGAAACTTTTTCAATAGTGCAAGAAAATAGGTAAAGTACTCAAATCGATTATTCTGTAAAAGAAATATAATGCCTAATACATACGTGATAACATTTCAACCTCTCTAACTATCCTGGAAATGCAGATCAACATGAAATATTATTCATCTACCAAGTGATATAAAAATACTAACGTTCAATTCTGGCAAGGATGTGGTGACCGGAATATTCTCATAAACAGTTGATGTGGGTATAAATCAGCCCAACCTTTTTTAGAGGCAATTTTGTAGAATGTATCAAGAATTGTAAAAATCTTTTATATGTTTTCCTATAAGCTCTAAAGTATATCCTTAGGAAGTAGTCAGAGGTACGGAGAAAGATTTAGGTTTAAAGATGTTTATTGTAGTTATCAATAACAGTTAAACAAATAAAAACTCTAAATATACAACAATAGAATACTTAAATACTTGTACACCTAGATTAGGGGTCCGCTAACTTTTTCTGTAAAGGACCAAACAGTAAATATTTTAGGCTTTTCAGGCCATATTGTCTCTGTTGCAATGACCCAACTCAACCATTGTAGTGTGAAAGCAGTAACAGATTATATATATGCATGAGGCTATGTTTTAATAAACTTGGTCCTAATAAACTTTATTTAAAAGCCAGGCCAGATTTGATCAATGGACTTATCAACTTCTGATTTATATGACATGTTTGTTATACAATTGTAAAAATAAACAACTGTGTTTGCATAAACATTTAGTGACTAAGTTTAAAAAATTAGTTGGGAACTAAACAGAATATGATATCAAAATATAAATTAGAAGAAAAGTTTGGTAGGAAATATACCAAAGTGTTTATGTTAATAATAGTAGATTGGGTGAATTACTTGTGATCTTGATTTTCTTCTTTATACTTTTCCAGTTTTTCTCCACAATAAATGCAGTCTAGTTTTATAATCTAAAATATTTTTATTTATCTAAAGCTTTATAGAACACAGAGAACCAATGAAAACAGTTTTATAGGGATGACAGGCTGTGGAATGAACGTAAAAATACGTTTATGGTGCTTAAAGTTGACTTAATAAGGATACTGTTAAAATTTCAAAAATGAAGAAAACATACTCATGTCATGGCAGACTCTAGTTGTGTTCACAACAAAAGGGTAACTTAATTCTATTTGGAAACAGAGGCTTTTTGAAAAAATAATATAATGACTTTGAGACAAATTTACCCCAGGGGCAGAAAGGTGATTTCATCGGAGATGCATTTATTTTCAGAATCAAATTTCTTCTATTTCTCTGCTAACGAGTTTTTGTCTCTTTATATTTTTAGGGTTATAAATATCATACTGGCTATTTTTGGATGCTTAATAGGTAATTTTAGGCGACATTGCCACTGCAGATGAATTCCCCATTTAGGCTTAACTCTGAGTGATGAGGGCAGGAAAGGAAATGGCTTTACTAAGCTTCCATCCTGGTCAGGCACTGTGCTGGGACTTTATACAGGTGATAACATTTAACCCTCACTGCAAGTCAAGAGGGAGATGCTACTGTACCCATTTTACAGATGGGAATGTTGGTATTCACAGGTGACTCTGCCAAAACCACATAGAATATGGATCCATTTTGGTGTGACCCTGGAATCCATGTTCTTGTTACTACATTGCACTCACCTCCATTAACAAGCATGCTTTGAAATGTTATAGCTAAAATAATTTAGGATACTAAAGTGGAGACCAATTTAAGTTTTTTCTCAATAACAGATTTGTAAAATGTAAATTTTCGCCCGGCCAGTGTGGCTCAGTGGTTGAGCGTCAACCCAGGAACCAAGCGGTTGCAGTTCCATTGCCAGTCAGGGCACATATCTGGGCTGCTGGATCCATCCCCGGTTGGGGACGTGCAAGATGATGTTTCTCTCTCATGGATGTTTCTATCTCTTTATTCCTCTCTCTTCCTCTCTCTCTAAAAATCAATAAAAACATATTTTTTAAAAATGTAAATTTTCAAGTGGCTGACCCTGAAATTGGTTGCCACACTGACAAGGTTTGAAAATAGAGAATTTGTGTAGCGATAAAGAGACCTCAGTGGCTTTTGTTGCTCAATATGTAATTGGAAATAAAAATGCCTCCAGTTCTCACAGAGCTATAATAGGACTTAAAGTGAAGCAATGAAAGTGAAGGTCATCCTCAACCATTAACTTTGATCAGAACACTTGGGGAGTCTGTAAAAGAGACTGATTCTCTGCCTTTTACCCTGAAAGGTTCTGCTTCAACAGGTCTAGAGTGGAGTCAGGAATCTGCATATTCAGCAAGCTCCCAGGTGATTCTGAGTCAGGTGGTCCAAAGACCACACCTTAAGAAACACCAGGCTGGCACCTATCAGGGGTTATGTTACTTTTCTACAGAATTACAGGCAGATCTATGTGGTTCTAGGTTCAGGCTGAAAGCTGTGTTGTGTCTTAAACATCTATAATAATAAAAGCGTAATATGCTACTTAGACCGGACATCCTTCTGGACGAAGCTGGGGCTGCGAGAGAAGCCCGGGTCCCGGGTGCCGGAGGGAAGCTGGCCGGCAGCCGGGGAAGGAAGGCCTACTCTTGCATGAATTTCGTGCATCAGGCCTCTAAAGTGAAGAGGCTACCCAACCCCACAGATTGCCATTCATCCATGGAATGTTGCATTTCTATCAGCAACAACTACTTCTGTCAGCAACAACTACTGCAATTAGATGCAGTAATGGTGGGATGTGGTGTGTGTGTGTGTGTGTGTGGCCTGAGCATGTGCAAAACTGAGGCCCAGAAAAATCACAGCAACCCTGTGTACTGTTACATCATTAGATTCAGAAGATACGATGGAGTATTTTTAACTTTGCTTCTTTTAAAATTTAGTTTTTAAATCTTTACACCATGAAAGTAATTTAAATGCAAAGAAAAAACCCTTAAACAAACCTTCCAATGTTTTCTCTTTCCCCTGCGTGTTTGTATTACTTTTCCACTACCCTTGTATCATCAATACTTCACTTATTCCTTTGCTGTTTATAAAACCATCATTTAAAATGGTGACACAGTATTTGAAGGTTTCGATCCCCTCTCTTAGGTCTGTCCTCAGTTCTGCAAAGGGACACGGTCTGATTGGAAATGTCCCAGGGGGTCTATCACTATCTATTAAGGCTTCTCCTTCCTGGTCCCTCTGGGAGGTCATCAGGCTACCGTGTTTCCTATGCCAGTTTTCTCACACTCCTTCCGGACCCATCGTTCTCTATGGGCCACCTGGTGCTGTGGGGTCCTGAGATTCAGCCGGGCCTGGGTGGCAGTGGTGGCAGTGGTGGGGCTGTGGTGCAGAGCACTTTCAGGCCCCGAAGTCCCCTCAGATTCACCATGTTTCCAATAATCAAAACCCGGCATCAGGCCCCATTTTCACCTCTCCCTTTGGGTTTACCTTGGGAGAGTGATGAGCAGGATCTGGGTCTGGATTCTAATGAGACTTTATTAAGAGAGAAAATAAATTTCGGATGTCTAATTTCTGAAAGTATCCCCAAATACATCAAGAGCAAACACGAAGGTCTGCACATACTATTTCAGTCGATAGTGAGGACACAGGACATGACATGCGGGGAGTTGCAGTCAGAGGAGAGGGGGCAGGAGGAAAGCCTCTCTCTGCTGGACGGAGGGCTCAGCTGTGCCTGTCTTGTCTCTTTGTCTCTGTTGACATTCCAGGAAGGAATGGGGGAGCATGAAGCAAGGAGGTTGAAGTCATACAGGTACAGGGGGTTCCTGCCTCACTTCTCAGGAAATCGACGTCATCACAGTGAACCCCACATTCATCTCTACATTCGATGTAGGGCAATATCCAGGGCCCGGGCCTGAGACAGTCCCTGGTTAGGGAGTGTCATGGTTTCCAGGGAGCAGGCAGAAGCTTGGAATCTGCACAAGGTGACTTACGAGGGGGTCTTTGTGACTGAAAGCAAATGCAGTGAACTATGCAACACAGCCCCAAGTAACAGCAAAATATCCCCAGGACACCATGAAAAGTGAACCACACATTAATGGAGACCAGCACAGAGCCCAAACTGGAGTAGCTGCCCACATCAGAGACCAGTGATCCTCAGAGAAAAGCATGGGGACCAGACGGCCTCATCCTGTCGCCATGACGTTACGTACATTTCCTCTTATGGACAGACACCACCCAGTCAGCTTCCTTACATTTTGGTTTTGCATGTTTAGATCCTACTGCACTCATATGGTTGGCGTGAGTATATCTTTTCTCAAGGTGAAGACTTGGAATATGACCTGCTCATTCAGATTTGTAGATGGCTGTTACTTGATTTTGGTCAGACTCAATATTACTCACCTGATTCTCTTTCAGTGTGATCTGCCCCTGTTCCTTACACCCAATGAAGGTTCTAACACATCTGAAAATCTTCTCATTCTGTTGTACTCTCTGAACGAAGTTGGCTGGAAAGAAGCCAATCCTGTCTTGAATTTTCCCCTGAAAGGAAAAAGGAAACATGCATCCACAATTCATTATAATTATAGCATTCATTGCAGTGACAGTAACCAAATGATTCTTTTTTTTTTTTAAAGAAAGAGAAATACGTACTTTCCACCAGTCTTCATTGGAGTCTTCTAGAAGAGTGATCATGTCTCCTGGTCTAGAATGCAAAGTCAATGAGTTGGGTGAGAAAGCAGAAGGGGATAAAACAAAAAAAAATGCTACTTAGAAGTTGGAAGCAACATTTTCATTGATACAAATGATCCTAAAATACACAGAAACAAAGTAAACATGACTTTTACCAGTTCTTCCCACTCATGAAAATAGCTTTGTTACATATTGAAAGCAAGTAAAATTTTATAGCTGTATTAAAAAATAATTCTTAGCTTTATTTTTATACAAAAATAATCATATTTGCATTGTTAAAAACTCCAAAATTTGGATGTTGATAAGTTTCAAGGTGCAAGTTGACCTTCATATTCTGCCCTACAATCTCCTTTCATTGCCCAGAGGCGACCACTGTCAATGGTTTCCTGTGTTTCCTTCTAGATCCTTCCCATACACTTACATTTATATGTGAGTAGGTACTAGTATATGTATTTTGATTTTTCTTTTGTTTACTAGTGACATCTAAAATTAGTCATTATATTTTCTCAGTACCTTCTTAAAACCTATTATACTTTTGCTTAGCTCTACTTTCCTGGCCTGCTGCCTTTTACGCTGGCATAATTTGGAATTTTATTCTAGACGTGTGCGTGCGCATACACACTATGTCATTCATCAAGAATTACTTGAGTTTAACTGAAGACTTACATGTTTTTGTTGATGTGGTGGTGATTTGCCACTTTTTGTTTGATTTTCACATCCGCATGTGTTCGAGTGTGTGGATATATGTTTTAATTCCCTCTATACATTGTCATTTCTATTGGGCAAAGCAAGTCATGAGGCCATTCCAGACTCAAGGGATGGGGTAATAGGTACCACCTCTGTGGTAAGAGGAATTGCAAAGTCTCATGACAAAGGGCATGAACGCAGGTTAGGATGACGATACAAGCCACCAGAGACAACTCATGTTCTTCAGTAAATTTGCTGAGTTCAGTGTCTCTTTGTGCTCTTACATTTAAAGTTTTTTTTTTCCCCCCTGAGCATTCCTTGGTCTCTGGCATCTTCATTGTTTTTAACTCAATTCTATATCCTAGGCTGCCAGGAAACTCCCATTTTTGGGCCTCCGATAGCATTATTTCTTGTTTCCTAGTACTGGTATGGATGTACTCTTTAAAAAAATATATTTTCTGACATTTTAAGGGATTGTAGAAAGAGGGGAAGTAGATTTGTGTGCTCATTTTGCTCTTCTGATTCAATCTCCTCTGCTGTCATTTTCAATCATCAGTTAATATCTATCTCTGTAGGGGATTCCAAATAGAACAGGCTGTTGCCCCTGAAACATTAAACACAACTGGCATTTTGGTATTTCAAAAGTCACAGTTTCATGCTGATGCCACAGAACACAAGATGGCTGAAAATTACTCTTTTCCCAGGTGAGGGATTTAATTAAGCAGCGAGGATGAAAGTCGATGCAGAAAAATCTTTCTAGCTCCAGCAGATTTTATTTAACCTAATAACCTGAGAAACCATGTGTTATTATCAACTTCAAAGGCGTTGCTGATGGTTTGGTAGAAATTGTAAGTAGAAAATAAAACTGGAGGTTGGAAGGGGCACCTTTTCCTAAGGGTGGAAGAGGATCCTGCTAAATCCACCTCTATTTTTCTATTCTAGCTAGAGCCTCTCTGTGCCCAGAGGTGGACTGCCCCTGTGTGGATGAGCCATGTTAACTAAACACGGATAAGGCACTCCCTGGATACAAGCTATAATTTTATGAGAAATACCAGACATACTCCTGACACTGTGATGGGGATTGTTTTTTCCTTAAAAAGAACTCCACCAGAATAAAAATAAATTGCTTGGTGAGTAAGGAGAGTTACATTCATCCATTTATTGTTTCACTTATTTTATTTTTTTAAAATATATTTTTATTGATTTCAGAGAGGAAGAAAGAGGGAGAGAGAGATAGAAACATCCATGATCAGAGAGAATCATAGATTGGCTGCCTCCTGCAAGTCCCCCACTGGGGATCGAGCCCACAACCTGGGCATGTGCCCTTGACCAGAATCGAACTTGGGACCTTTCAGTTTGCAGGCTGACGATGCTCTATCCACTGAGCCAAACCAGCTAGGGCTGTTTCATTTATTTTTATTCATCAACTCGTTCAACAAATATTCTAGAATGCCAACTCTGAAAGAGCCGTTTTACTAGGCACAGGCTATACTCTGGTGAATCAAGTAAGTCCCCACTGGAGCTAATATTCTAGTGAGAAGATGACTAATAAACACACAAATATATAGTGAAACACTTAATAAATATATAAATAATAAGTACAGAATGTGCATACATAATTGCAAATGGTCTTAAGGGCAATGAAGAAAATGAACCGGATGATCATAAAGAATGAGTAGATGCCTCTGATCAGTCCCTGCTCTAGTCATCTGGTGAAGACAGCTAATGCCTCTTTTTCACTGTAGGGAGGCTCTTGCTCCAGGGCAGCCCTGGAATCCAAGACAGCAGCTCTCTGCATCTGGGTCAGCTGTGGGAGTTATGCTGTCCTTACTCCTACCTTGCCTCACCCATCCATTTCAGGATGCTCCCTGCTGAGCCTGCACTCAGAATCCTTTTCAACTGGGCTCCAGGCGATGGATCTGAGTAGGCATGCAAGATAAAACCACTCTGTGTCATATAATGTTTTAAATTTATTTTTTAAATGTGTCTTGACCCAGTTTTGAAACTCTGGGTAGAGACTAGAGAGTTTCCCTTAAGAGCCGATTAAGTCAACATCCCAACCACTTCCCTTCAAGCTCACAAACTCCAGCCACTAGGCACCAGCCCCAGCCCAAATTGCTCCAGGGTCACATACCAGACAACTAGTTACTGGTTTTGTGCCTAGGAACCTGTGAACTTATTCAAATTAGCTAATTCACAGGTAGCCTGGGAAACCTAGCTTACCCCAAGTACTGGCCCTACAGCTCTAGCCTGCTGTTACCTGACTCCAAGGTGCTAGCCCATGTGGCCCTTTTGGCAGCCCTTCTCAAACCAGTTCTCTTCTCCTTTCCATGGTGTTGGGTGCTATGCATTGCCATCAAAGAACTAAATCCAGCCCTGGCAAGTGTGGCTTAGTTGGTTGGTTGTCGTCCCATGCACCAAAAAGTTGCAGGTTTGATTCCCAGTCAGGACACATGCCTGGGTTGAGGGCTGATTGATGTTTTGCTCTCACATTGATGTCTCTCTCTCTCTCTCTCTCTCTCTCTCTCTCTCTCTCTCTCTCTCTGAAAACCAATAAAAAATCTTAAAAAAAGAGAACTAAATCCAAGCATTCTGCCCACCTGCTCTACATGGGGAAGCCTTGCCATTTCCCCCAAAACAATGGAAGCCTAATGCCCAAAATTCTCCTTGTGCTGATTGGTCCTAGGATGGACGCTGCCAGTGCATGACTCTCTGCCTCCAATTGTTTCCTGCTTCGGTGGCTGATCAAGCCCCATCCTAGGGAACAATTCTTTCTTATTTCAGGTTATCACATTTCAAGCATGTTCGAAGCAAGTCCAGCTGTGATCTAACAGCCATTCTCTTTCTTTCAGGTGACCTGATGTTCCTGATCTATTATGTGTAGATTTTATTATTTAAATCTATCTTTATTTCCAAATTCTTGGGGACGAACCTATCAGGCCCCAAATACTTAAAAAATTTACCTTAGCTTAATTTAATCAGAGCATCCTCAGCTGAGGTACCAATTCTGCCTGCACTCTAAGCCAAAATTATATACATAGCATGATACAAAGTCTAGCACAATTCATATACCATGAAAGCATGCACTTCCTATTTGGTGCAGACAGGTCAGGGCACCATAGCTGGCCTCCCCTTTTGGGTTGCTCAGTCAAAATTGTCTTAAGCTCAGAGGAAGAGTCTCAGGTTGGTTATATCATGATTTATGGAACGTCTTGAAATGATGAGGGAACTGTCATCAACAAGAGTAGGAACAAGATGACAAAAGCTAACTATGGAATTATGGGTCAGTGGTACAAAGGACAGAGTTTCTTTGTGAGTGTGTCTGTGTACTCACGTGTATTTGCATGTGAGCTTGATGGTTGCTATCTGGGTTCATTCTCAGGAGTCCTTTGCCACCCTCATTTCTCAGCTTTCCACTCGGACATAGGAACCCATCTCTTCCATCCCCAGGTAAACTGGTTTCAGGGATGCAGAGGGCACAGCGTGCACCGATTATAAGAATGATGCCTGCTGAGCCCAGCCAAGTAGAGGGAACTCTTCTGTAACGTGTTATGAAGAGGGTTTGGTCTTCTAAGGGTGGGAGCTCCTGGAGGGTGGAGTGTGAGTTGTCCTGGGCTCCCCTCTCCTGCTCAGCTCTCTCCATTCCCCGGGAGAGCATAGATTCCTAGGAGTGGAGATACTGACACCCCCTTGTTGAGGTCACTGCTTCTGAGAAACACCTTCCCCACGGTCTGGGACAACCTGAGCCCTCTCACCGGCCCTCCCTTGGAAGCACAAGTACAAGGCAGGCTGCTCTGGGCCTTCTGTGCTTTTCTAATGTTTTGGATAGACTGCATATTTTGGAATACAAAGGATATTATCTTCCTTTATCCTGCTATCTCTGCCTATTGGGCTGAAGGAAATTATATGACAAGTATTTATTGAATGCTCATGACAGGTTAGACTTTGGGTGTGCACTGAGTGTACAGAGATGAAAAGATTTGTCTAAGAATCAGTTTTCTTATCTGTAAAATGAAGATAATAATAGTACCTATCTCCTCAATATTTTTGATAATTAAGTGAGGTAATATTTGTAAAGCACATTTAGATAAGCCTGCAGTAGATGGTGGCTTGTTGATAAGACATAGTTTCTGCCCTTAAGATGTTGGTAATCTTAAAGGGGAATGCAATGTAAACTGGTAATATATACCAAGCGACTGAATGACCGAACGACTGAACAACTGAATGACCGAATGACTGGTTGACTGGTCGCTATGATGCACACTGGCCACAGGGGACAGATGTTCAACGCACAGGATTGGGCTCCCTCTTGTCTGAATTGGGCCT